TTTAATAATAATATAAAGAATATTTTACTGCTACAGATTATAATAACACTTAAATATTTGCATACTAATAATATTAATGCTTATATGACTATATTCAGGAACTGCAACACAGCATTAACCATTTGTCAGAATTAGATAACTATTGCAGTAAAATCAAATAATTCTGTGGCTTACAAAATAAAAATTCCACTCTGAGATGAAATAGTTATCTAAGGCATTTATCAACACAAGTTACACAATGATTTGCGATGGATCAAAGTTTTACTTTATCATTTTCATATAAAAATTTCATCAAAAACTTTCAGCAAAAGTTAACTGAAGTTGAGGATATCACACTGAAAATTTTCTTCTTAAAATGGATGTAACATCTATTGCTTCCACTTGTCATTCTCATAAGAACTACACAGAAGCTCATGTAAAACTACAAATACTCTAAGAGGTATATTTAAATATGGGTCTCAGATATTATTTGTGACTAACCCCAGCAAATGAACAATCAAAATCTTGTAAAGACATGGTAATACATTTCTTAAATATCTCTGAGTAGAGCATTAACGTATCATTTATAGCTAACCTCTCCAAATAAACTCCTTTGATATTTTTAGATAAGATCTTAATAACTTTGTCTTCCTTCTTTCCTTCCTTCCTTTCTTTCTTCCTTCCTTCCTTCCTTCCTTCCTTCCTTCCTTCCTTCCTTCCTTCCTTCCTTCCCTCCTTCCTTCCTTCCTTCCCTCCCTCCCTCCTTCTCTCTCCCTGTCTCTTTCTCTCACTTTCCTTCTTGTGCTAATGTTTGAACTTAAGCCTTTTTATCTGATTTGTAAATGCTCTACCACTTGAGCTATGCCTCTAGCCCAAATAATTTAACTTTCAATTCTTGTTCTTTTAAATAATTTCCTCAAATTCTAAGACACTGTTGGTAAGAATGTAAATTAGTGCGTCCATTATGGAAGCATCTCCAAAAATTGAAAATAAAACTACTTTATAACATGTGTGTATATATATGTGTGTGTGTGTGTATAAAATCCAGTGATGCCACCCAAAATTTATATTAAAGAACATGAATCAGGATATAATAATTATTTCTTCACACCCATATTTCTTGAAGCACTATTCACAAGAGCTAGGTTATGTAGAAAGTTCAGATGCCCCATAATCAAAAAATAGATCAATTAAATGTTATGTATACTACATAGTTTACATGTTATTTAAACTACATATTATATGTGTGCATATGCACACTAGAATTTTATTCATCCATCAAGAAGAATGAAAATATGTCATTTTGAGGGAAAATGGATGGTTTTGGAAAAAGTCATGTTAAATTAAGTAAGCCAGGCCTCAAAAAGCAAAGGATATATGCCCTTCAGACCTAAAATATAAGCATATATGCAAGCACATATGGGCTATATGCATAACAATTCCTCAAACTGGTGGATGTTAGACCTAAAATATAAGTAAATATTTAAACACATAAACACATATGGGATATCTATCTTTCTAACTATAATATTTATATAATATATAAATAAAATCAAACTGACTAAACTATGATCAGATTTCATTCAGTACTCTTTGAACATCTAGCAGTATAACAAAAATCAATATCATGAAGATGATATATCACTGGGGGAAAAGGATAAGAAACAGAGGTAGACAAATGGAATGAGGAATGGTGACTGAATATAATCATAATACTAAATAAACACACATAAAATTTGCTTATGTAACTGTAACTCATCTGTACCGTATTTTCATAATAAAAAAAACTTGTTTAAAAATGAATTAACATAGTTAAGGAGATGGATGGGATTGGAATAGATAAGGAGAAGAATGATTGAAGAGATGATATTGATCAAGATGCATTGCACATACTCATGGATAAGTTAAATTAAAACTTCCTGTACAACAATATTAAAGAGACAATAATGAGAAAAATATTTTCTCATGGGGTAACCATTAAATACAGTTCAAATAGCATATAATAATCTTCAATGTTTCATCAAACACTATATTGAAATATATTTTAAAATAAAGCATAAAAATAATTCTATTAATTGAATTATATGAAACATAAATGTCTTTATATTATTTTCTTTATCTCATGATTACATTCTAAATCATAGAGCGGAACGTGACTGGGAAGTGCTTTCTCTTTCTTAATTTTTTTTCCTGTAAACAATACAGGCATGAAAAGCCCAATTGGAATCTAGTACACAGTGGAGATGAGGAGATGGAGCTCAGAATCTAAAGGTATCAAAATGTCTACCACTTACAGGAAGAAAAATTACAAAGAAAACTGAGAACTAAATAGGAAGAGGGTCCTGAATACTAATGCAATTCAGAAAATGGCTAATTATTTCAAATGTGTGAAATTATGTCAGACACTCACACAAGGGCCTGGAATAGAGCTTGTCACCTACAAGCCTCACTAGAAAGTCACAGTGGATTACAGAATTCCAGAAGTTCTTGCCTTATTACTGGGAAATAGCTATCCCCAGACAGAACATTGAAATTACCTAATAAATACAAGACAAGACAAAAAAAATCAACATTTTTTGTTTAACTCTGTGTTTCAGAACAAAGCTGAAGAATTTTATTAAAAAAATAATAACTATTCAGCACACAATAGACTAATGCTTGTAATGTTCGCCATCTCAGTGAAATTAATCAGGCTTAAAAAATAGCAAGAAAACTTTGGTTATAATGAGAAGAAAATCAATTAAAACCAACACAGAACTAGCACAGGTGTTCAAATTAACAAGAAAGACCATAAATAGCATTATTATAACTGTTTTCCATATGCTCTCAATTAAAAAGAGACATGAAAGATTTAAAAATAAATTTCAAATGGTTTTTAAGAGATACAATCATAGGATCTGAGTTTCCCTACTTTAGATATGATAGATAACGGGAGACCATGACATGCGAGAAGACTAGTCATCATGAACTTGAAGCTACTGGAATAGAAATTATCAGAAAGGATATATTGTGAAATTAAAAAAAATTAAAACTGACAAAGACTGATGAAATATGAAAATAATATTTATATATAATTAGAGTCTTTGAAATTAAGTGATAAGAAGCAAACAGGTTTATAAAATTATATCCCAAAGTTTTATGTTGCCCCAAATTATAAACGTGTAATCCAAATCTCAACAAATCTTGAACCAAGGAAAAGACAGTATAACAGTACACCAAACTCTAATTTTTCCAAACTCATAGCTAAAGAAAAAAGAGCCTTGAAATCAGTAAGAAAGAATGTATTATGTAAGGAAAGAAATAAAAATGATTAAACCATATTTCTATCTCCATCTCTCCTCACAAAATCTAAATGCAATTTTTAAATGAAGATTTGTATATAAAGAATAGAAATACAATTAAACTAAAACACTCACTCAGAGCATATTTTGAAAATAAATTTGAAGTAAAGATATTGTCACATACAGAAAATTTCTATGTGATTTTTTCATATATATTTTTCATATATATTGTTATCATAAAAATACTGGACAGAAGGGTTACAGTTACATGAGTAAGGTAATGAGTACATTTCCTATTGAGCATTGTTACCTCCTCCTTTGTTTTCTCCCCTACCATCCCTTCCCTCTGCAACTCCTCTATCCCCTATTTCTTTTAGAATGTGTGTGTGTGTGTGTTTGTGTGTGTGTGTGTGTGAAAGGTTATATTTGTAAAGAAGTAAAACTACAACAGATGGAACCATGTACCTATTGATCTTGTTAGAGGCCTTAGGTTCAATTCCCATCATCACTAAAAACAAAACAAAACAAAATATAATGGAAAGTACTTGTAACAACATTGGTGTGATTTCCTCCCTCTCTTTAGACTTATATAAAAGTACTGTTTTGGATTTAGGCTAAGTGAAATAGTTCATGCCTACATGGGGAGGCAGAAATCAGAAGAATGAAGGATCAAGCTCTAGCAAGAATAAGCCCACAAGATTCATGTCTCAGTCAATAAAAAGTTGGGCATGGTCATGCCTTCTTGCCTAGCCAGCCAGAGAGTATAGATATAAAAAATTGAGATCTAGCCTAGCCCAGGCAGAGTGAAAGATCCCATTTGATTCTGGTGTCCTGCATCTTGTATATACATTTTTCTAATTTGGGGAGGGGAAGGGAAATAACAAAATGCTGAAATAAGGTTACAAGATGACCCACTGTAACAAAGAGACGTACAAAACACTATGTTGAAAATGAACTTTACAAAATTGGGGAGGTGGGGAGGAAAGGAGGGTGTAACAATGCTTGATAGGAAATGGATTCATTACCTTGTTCATATAACTGTAACCCCTCTGTAGAGTATCTTTACAATAAAAAAATTAGAAAAAGATAGGTAGATACAGAATCCAGGATGATTGAGACTTAACAATCCAGCAGGCTTGGGAAAGAAAGAAATTAAGAAAGAAGGAAAGAGAGAAAGAGAAAAAAGAGAGAGAAAGAAAGAAAGAAAGAAGGGAAGGAAGGAAACAATGGTAATAAAATGGCTTGGAGGCACAGATCAAGTAGAAGGGTGTCTATCAAACAGGAGGCTCGTAGTCCAAAACACACACTACCATCCATCCATTCACCCATCCATCCATCCATACACACACGTACATACATTCACACTTAGGTACGTACTGTTTAGACAAAAATACTAAATTATTTTGAGATACGTAGCAAATAAATGTAAAAACAATTAGAAAAAGCTTGTAGAAACAGGATGAACATAGCTACAATCGTGCTCAGAGATTCCAACCATCTAGGAGCCAGGATTTTGTGTTGGCTGGAGTGGGAGTAACAAGATGGCGGCCTGGGCGGAGTGACTGGGGGCCGAAGCCGGCAGCCCTGGCTGGGCAGTGTTACCCCGCCCCTGCCCTAACCTAACCCGGGCCTCCCCTCCAGCCAGCGGCGGCGGCCTGGCCCTGGTAACCGTGTCCCACCCCCCAGCCACCCTGCCGCGGCCTGGTGGAGCAGGACCCAGCAGGCAGGCAGGCCGAGCGGCAGGGACCGATTCTCCTGGGCCCTGCGACGCCAGGACAGACTTCCGTTCTCCATCTCCCGTCGCCCAGTTGGGCTTGGCGCCGCCGGGCGCGCCGGCCCCCCGGGGGAAGCCTCCTCCGTCAGCCCCTTGGAGGTGTCCAAGGCTAGGCCCCAGCCCCCATGTTCGCGTTTCGGGATGGCGAGCAGCAGCGGCTCCAAGGCCGAATTTATGGTCGGAGGGAAATACAAACTGGTGCGGAAGATCGGGTCCGGCTCCTTCGGGGACATTTACCTAGCGATTAACATCACCAACGGCGAGGAGGTGGCAGTGAAGCTAGAATCGCAGAAGGCCAGGCATCCCCAGTTGCTGTATGAGAGCAAACTCTATAAGATTCTTCAAGGTGGGGTCGGTATCCCGCACATACGCTGGTATGGTCAGGAAAAGGACTGTAACGTGCTAGTCATGGATCTTCTGGGACCCAGCCTTGAAGACCTCTTCAATTTCTGTTCAAGGAGGTTCACCATGAAAACTGTACTTATGTTAGCTGACCAGATGATCAGTAGAATCGAATATGTGCATACAAAGAATTTTATACACAGAGACATTAAGCCAGATAATTTCCTCATGGGTATTGGGCGTCACTGTAATAAGTTATTCCTTATTGATTTCGGTTTGGCCAAGAAGTACAGAGACAACAGAACCAGGCAGCACATACCATACAGAGAAGACAAAAACCTCACTGGCACTGCCCGGTATGCTAGCATCAACGCACATCTTGGTATTGAGCAGAGTCGCCGAGATGATATGGAATCATTAGGATATGTCTTGATGTATTTTAATAGAACCAGTCTGCCATGGCAGGGACTAAAGGCTGCAACAAAGAAACAGAAATATGAAAAGATTAGTGAAAAGAAGATGTCCACTCCTGTTGAAGCTTTATGTAAGGGGTTTCCTGCAGAATTTGCCATGTACTTAAACTATTGTCGTAGGCTGCGCTTCGAGGAAGCCCCGGATTACATATACCTGAGGCAGCTATTTCGCATCCTTTTCAGGACCCTGAACCACCAATATGACTACACATTTGATTGGACAATGTTAAAGCAGAAAGCCGCACAGCAGGCAGCCTCTTCCAGTGGTCAGGGTCAGCAGGCCCCAACCCCCACAGGTTTCTAAGCATGAATTGAGGAGCATAAGAAGCAGAGCAGATGATCAGAGCAGCAATTTGTTTCTCCCCAAATCTAGAAATTTTAGTTCATATATACACTAGCCAGTGGCTGTGGACAACCATTTACTTCGTGTAAAAAACTTAATTGCAGTATAAACTGGCTCCGGGCAGCATTGGTGATACTGTGTCCTGAGTTGTAGCCGCTATAATGGTGAATACTAACTGAGATAGTGAAACATGGTGTCTGGTTTTCTGTTGCCTTTTTTTTCCAAGTGGAAAAGTTAACTAAATGGTTAACGTACACGAATTGGTGGAGGAATTGTGCATATGCCAATCTTGTGCTAAAACCTTTCTTTTGAACTATACTGCTTTGAGATCTCATTTCAGAAGAATGGCATGAACAGTCTTCAGTTGTGATAGTTGTAAATGCTCACAATTGTGCATTCTTAGGGTGTCCATCCCTGGGGTTTGCAAGTTGTTCACTTAAAACATTATTTCAGTGGTTGGCTTCTTGTTTGCAAGACATGGTAACAACCAAAGATTCCAATGTTTGAGCATATGAAAGACTCTGCCTGCTTACCTGTGCTAGAAATAATAGCATCTAGCATGAAGACTTAAGAAAACTTAGTGAATACTAGATTATCCTTGGGATTCAGCATTAACTCTATAATGTTCTTGGTATTAAAAAAAACAAAAGCATATTTGTCACAGAAATTTAGTTAACAGCTTACCATTGAACATGTATGTATGTTGCTTAGATAAATCACTAAATAAAAAAATCTAAATAGAAAAGACTATATGAACCAGTAAGAGTAGAGAATAGACATTCAGCATGCACACTTAGAGTTCCCCACATAAAGGATTTTCTGAGCCATAAAATTTTATTAAAGACAGTTTAATTGATACAAACAAAAGATCTCAGGTTCTAACATAACTATGTAATTCAGTTAGAACTCAATAAGAGAAAGTCAGCTACATGTATTCCAAATATTAGAAAACCAAACAACACATTTCTGAAGAGATCATATGTCAAAGAATAAATCCAAAGAGATGTTAGAGAATATTTGGAATTGATTATAAATATAAACGCAACTGTCAGAAGCTCATCTGAGTGGGGAAAATAAAGAACTATGCTGTCAGGTGTTATTGTTGCTAATTAAAGCATAAAAACAAAACAAAATCCACTCATTCTATCTTGTTATGGTGACTCAAATCTAAAAATAGGTGTAATGCTGATTCCTTCTGTTCTATTTTTTCTGAGGAACAGCAAACCAGTGGAGAGTCAGTAGAATTGACCCCAATGTTATCTTTCTATTAAGGTTCTCAATAGATTTATAGACATATGATGGAAGAATGGAGCAGAGCATAAGAAGAGAAAAAGTACTGGGTGCTATGTCAAAGTCTGCTTTAATTGCTAGCACCTCTGCACATGCTATCTCTGGAGGTATGGAGAACAGACTTCAAAGTTTGAGCAGGGGGATCTATGAATGAAGGTGCCAGGGCTAGGGAAGTCCTCAAACATGTGAAAGTCAATGTTCAAAGTGGGCCTAGAGACCTGAAATGCAACTCTTTTCTGATAGTGAAGTGAAAAAGTGTGGTGTGGGAAGGCAAGCTTTCTTCTATTAGGCAAAGCCTTTGTGTCTGTGGCTGGGCCTGAAAGATCACATGTGAGTTTTTAACTAGAAGCTGGACTCAATATAAACAAAGACAATATGTAGATTTATAGCATTAAACATCTCTACTGAAAGAAGAAAGGTCTTTAATCCATGTCCTCATCATTTACCTGAAGAAACTAGGAGTGTGGGAGTAAGTATAAATCCTATGAAAGAAGAAAAACAGGTTCCAGTATAAGAGAATTAAGTAGATGGTAGAAAAATTATTATTTTTTGAAAGATGTTTTCTTGTTGTTGTTGTTGTTGACTCATGGCTCAGACCAAAAACATTCTGTAATCTCTTACATAGCTAGTACTTGAGGTGTTTGTCATTGTACCTAGCCTAAAGATGTTTCAAGAAATAGGTAAGTGTAATCAATAAACCTCTATTCATTTAACTCAGAAAGAACAGAGAAAAAACTGGAATTGCTTACACTATGCAAATAAGATGGCATGTAGATGCTACAGATATTGAAATTATAACAAGGATCCAACAAGAGTGGCTCATGCCTATATACCTGTCTATTTAGAATGCTGAGAATAAGAACATCATAGTTCAAAAGCCAGCTGGGCTTAAAAGTCCAAGAGATTCATTGTATAGGTAGCAAGATTTTCTCCTATTGTACATATTTCCTCTTCCTTCTAGTGACTTTCCTTTGCTGTGAGAACCATTTTAATTTAATTTAATTTAATCCTCTTTACCATTTCTTGACATTATTTGTTGAGCTACTGGAGTTTATAGTCTATGCCAGTATTCTCCAGTATTATCCCTATTCTTCCTTGTTGTAGTTTCAGTTTCAGGTCTTACATTAAAGACTTTGAATGGACAGTTTCTGGGCAGGAAATAGGGACTTGTTTCAGTCTTCTGCATAAGTATGTCCAGTTTTTAGACTATAGCCATATTAATTTATTACTCAATCCTCTATTCTATCCCACTGTCTTGGTGTTTGTTTTTGTGGCAATTCAATACTGTTTATGTCACTATGGTTCTATTATATAATTTGAAGTAAAGGATTTCTCTATATCAGTTAAGAAAACAATAATATCTAAATTGCCAAGAAAAGTTAGAAGAGGGTACTTGGTCAAAATAGCACACACATTTCCCTTGATTAGAAATGGATACAGGAGTATCAACTGGAAAAAAAGGACATTTGCTGCTTAGAACCTATCCTTGAGTGATCAGAGGAAGCAAAATTGGTATTGTCAGTGGAAACACAAAGGCTTTCCTTGAAGTCACATGAACACTTCCATAGAAATTTCCTAAGAAGGAACTTGGGCCTTCTCTATACTGTGTAGCTGCATCAGTGATACAGTTGGCTGCATATCATGCACATCATTCCTGCATAGAGAATTACCCACAAAATAAAACACGAGGCAAAGCTACACAGTGATGCTACATGCTGACATCTTTATAAGCCTCAACTTTTGTAGCTATGAGCATAAAAGTGTCACTGATTGTTCATAAGGAGATTTACTAAGAAGGCATCCATAAGTACACAGAAGTATCAGATGGATAATTAAACCAGTTAGTTATACATTTAAGAATCAAATCCAAAATCCACTTGCACCATTGGTCCTCGAAGAAAACTAATAAACAAAATAACTGGCTTTACTGATTGATATATTTACCCCCAGAAACTTGACCCAGCTGTAATTTCCATTACTATTGCCATCATAAAAGTAAAATTAAAGTAAAAACCCTCAAACTTTTTGGGAAGCATTTTTAAAAAATTTAAGGAAGGGAAATAACAAAATGCTGAAAGAAGGACAAAGGATGACCCATTACAAGATACAAGCCACTATGTCAGAAATGAAGTTTATAACTTTGGAGGGTGGGGGGGAGGAAGAAGAGGATAGTGGGAGAAAAACAAAGGAGTGGGTAATAATGTTTGACAAGAAATGTACTCATCACCTTACTCATGTAACTGTAACCACTCTGTACTCCATGTTTATATTAAAAAATGTTTAATAAATAACAGGACATCTAATATTAAAACAACTTTTAAAACTTTGGTTTAGACTACTATATATGATATTGTAACAACAAGTAAGAGTAATGAGATTCATTATAATAACTTAATTGATGCAAATAGTTATGAGGACAATTTAAAAGGTAGATGTGGAGCAAAAGTATTCTATTTCCAGGACTAGCCAGATATTAACACCAAGTCATAGACTGTGGACAGATTTCAATTCTGATTTGGATTGATATTAATCTGAATTGACAAGATTGAAGGACTAGGGTGGGATATAATTAATCAGGATCTTTGAGGACTTGATTAATACAATACTTTAAATTGATGACAACTCAAAGTGTGCACTTAATTGGATTTTCTTTTAGAATTAAAAAATTTTTATCTTTATAATTAAGAATCCACCAAATGGCTCTGTCCAATTTTAAATTCCCAAGACCATATTAGTGAATTTCAATGGTTTTCTATGGTTATATAAAATGTTATTCTAAACTTAATAGGCACCTGCATCAAATAATAGAAAATTGAGAAAATGAAATATTACAAATGTAGACTTTAATGTAGATCTAGTTAAGTTAGTGTTCACTAACATATGCTTTCTCATTTATTTAAAAACTTTTCAAAGCTCCTTATTAAAACTTTTAAATATTCCTAGCACAACCAGCATGAGAAAGCAACAGTAATATTTTATCAGAAATCAATCCCTATGTTTTTCATATTATATTCCCTTTAGCAGTATGAGCAGAGTAAGAAAATTGCCAATTAGTACCTTTAAATTTTAGCAAGATGGAAGAAGGAGGAGACATACCTAGGGTGATTCTTCAAACAGTGGTATTATGCCAACCAAAATTTCTTTAAAATATCCTGTGCTCCAAGGGCTTGCTTCTCCAACTTTTATTAACACATTGGTCTATTCTACTTGTAATCATGACTTCATTTTAATTGTTCACACATTTTAACTTAGTACTTTCTTGGGACTGATGATGAATGCTTTTAATTAATTCCTTGGGATCATCCTGCTGTTTTGGTTCTGAAATTTTCTTATTGGTTTCTGTAGATGAGATTTCAGCTATTCCTTGGCTGTGGCTTAGGATAATTTTATCTATTGCTGCAAACAAGAGGACCAAAACAAACAGAATGAACTTTTCATATTTGGGAAATCCCCTTGTATCTTCTAGTAAACAAACAAGAATAGAAACAAGTAATATATATGGAGATATTACAAAGTGAGAAAAACTATAGAATTGCGTGTTCTCACTGTGGGGTACTTTTGGAATGGCAAATGACTATCTTACTAGGTTTCTACTTTAACTCTTGTTTCTAAGAGTAGGCCATGATAACATCTTCCTTTCTCCAACCTCCTTCCTGTAATGGGGAAACCCACAGGTTTTGTCACCCCAAAGAGTCTATACACTGGGAAATGTTACTCTGATATCTGGTAAAAATAAGTTGATATTTAAA